TCCAGGAAACCCCAAAGAAGACAAGGTACCTCCCGATATTGTCTATAAATGTCACCCCAGAGATGCGATGAAAACTGTTATATGTATTATCTGCGATAATGGCTTCCATAGAAGTGACTTTGAACGAAAACTCAAAAATGGTGCAACATATTTGACTAGAACTTTAGTCATATGTGAAGAGCATAAAGGCATCACACTAAAGGAAAACACAGATGATGAAAACACTAATGAAAACCTGCGAACAACAATTGCGTACCTGAGAGATAAGTGCGCAAAACTCAACAACTTGTGTAAGGAATACAAAGCCAATGTTGATACCATTACCGCTAAATACAAAAATCGCCAAAGTCAAACCAATCAGGAGGAAGAAAGACGTGCACATGAAACCAACGTAGAAACACTAATTTTGAAGGAGAGAAACAAAGGCCTGGAAGAGCAAAACAAAGTTTTACAGGAACAGAACCTTACCTTAAAGCAACTTAATGCAGAGCTGAAAAACACAAACACACTACAAAATGAAATATTGCAAGACACCAAGAACAAAGAAAGAAGCTATGCCACAGTTGTCAATACCACAAATAACAAATACGTAAGAGAGCAGAAAATATATCCGACAATGACGATATCCAAATTTGATAAAAATCATAGCCAAGACCTACTAAAGGAAATCAAACACAACCTAACAAGTAAAACAACTATTCCAATGGATCTTACGCTAACAAAATCAAATGATAAGATCGTTGTCCGATGTGACACAGACGAAAATGTAAAATACATACATGACCTATTGAACAATATTGCCAAAAATAGGTTTACCACAAATATAGAGAAAAAAACGAATCCCTTAATAAAAGTAGTGGGCATAGAAACAGATTGTACGGATTACGATAAAATAAAGGCGGATATTGTAAATAGAAACAATCTAGGAAGCGAAACCGATCTAAAAATAAATCATGTATATACAACAAAAAAGCAAACCAAAACTGCAATTTTACAAGTTAGTAAACAAACATATTCACAAATTATGAGAGACAAAAAGGTGTACATAGGATGTCAGAGGTGCAAAGTATTCGATGAGTACAACCTAACACAATGTCGTAACTGTGGAATGTTTAACCACAGCACTAAAAAGTGCAGAAATGCCGCAAAATGTCTGAACTGCTCGGAAGAACATCCTACCGAGCAATGTAACAAGACAGACACAAAAAAATGTCTAAATTGTTGTTCTTCAAATAGGTTTCACACCAACAAAAGGGAAGAAAAACATCGTGCAGACGAACACAAAATATGCGAAACATATAAAGCATTTCTGTCAAAAATCATTGACAGAACCGACTATCCATTTTCTCCGGAATAGATTTTGAATTTGAAACAAACCTAGAGATTAATGACACGCACGAATTGAACAACTTAATATCAAACAACGACTTTGTAATCTATCATACAAATATTAGAAGTTTGCATAGAAACCTACAACAACTATGGATAAACCTGAATATGCTAACAACGAAGCCCCACATTATAATATGCACAGAAGTATGGAGAGTTGAAAATGTAGCTTACTACCAGCTAGATGGATACAAAAACTACTACAACTACGAAAACCTGAACAAATCAGATGGCGTGATGATATACATAGAGGAAAGCATACAAGAGACTACAGAGATCGTCCACATTGGTGAAATTAAGGCCCTAAAGACTCTAGTTACTGTAGGTACAAAAAAGACTTTTTTAACATCTCTTTATAGGTCACAAGAAGTAAGTAAAATCAATTTTCTGAATAATTTTGAACATTATCTTAAATCTTTTAAAAACAGCGATATTCATTATATCATAGGTGATTTAAATATTGATATTCAAAACCCTGACTTTTATGGTAGTGAATATCTTAACATTCTGTATGAAAAAAGATATGTTCCTCTTGTCACAACTGTAACCAGGCCAAATGAGTCTGGAGGATCATGTATAGATCATGCTTTTGTAAAGAATGTGAATGAAGAAGAGGTAAAAGGGCTTGTTTATAAACACATGATTACAGATCATTATCAAACTTTTTTATTAATTAGGTTAGGTGTCAAAAGATCCGAAACAAACACAATAATTAATTATATAGACTATAAAAAACTAAAAAGTGTAGCTAGAAATTTGAACTGGACTAACATAATAAATGATAATGTGAATGAAAGCACAAACAAGTTAGTGACGCAAGTACAGGAAGTTATAAAGTTATCTACAAGAAAGTTAAACGGAAGGAAAAAAACAACTAAAAGGAAAAATTGGATTACCAAGGGACTTATGACGTCATGCGAACATAAAAATAGATTATATCGCGAATGGACTCAGGACAAAAACAATCTTTTAAAGAAAAATCGTTACCAAACTTATTTCAAATTACTTCAGAAACTAATCAAAATTGCTAAAATAAAATCTGAACAGGATTATGTAAAAACCCATTGTATAGATTCTAAGACCACCTGGACATATGTAAATGAGAGATTAGGTAGATCTAAATCGAAAAAAAATCCAATTGACCATATTGTTATTGATAACAAAACGATTTCAAATAAGAAGGAGATGGCAGATATGTTCAACAAATATTTTAATACTGTGGGTATAGAGATGGCAAAAAAAATTAAGGTAAACAATTCTCGGCGTCTAAATAATAACAATAACATAAATATCAATTCTATTTTTTTGTCTCTCACGGATAATTTTGAAATAGCCTACATCATAAATAATCTTAAAAAAAAAGCGGCTGGTGGAATCGATAATATCCCAGTCAAAGTAATACAAACGCTGGTGAATTTTCTGACACCACCACTTACAGAGTTAATAAACTTGAGTATTGTATCTGGTGAAATACCTGACCACTTTAAAAAAGCTGAGATCGTTCCAATTCATAAAACAAACAAAAAAGACATTATATCCAACTATAGACCAATCTCGCTAATCTCGAACCTCGCAAAAATCTTTGAAAAAGTTTTGCATATTAGACTCATTAAATTTATAGAAAAGAATAAATTATTAAACAAAAATCAGTTTGGATTTAGAAAAAACATGGCCACTAATGATGCTCTTCAATTGTTCTCTGACAGTATTTTTGAAAATTTGGATAGCAGTAAGCCGACTGTAGCTGTATTTCTGGACCTAGCCAAGGCCTTTGATACAGTTAACTATAATAAACTATTTATGAAGCTAGAGAATTTCGGCATTCGTGGCATGGCTCTCAACTTAGTGAAGAATTACTTGACAAACAGGAAACAAGTGGTGAAATTAGATGAAGTATATAGTGAGGAATTAGTGGTGCAGATCGGTATCCCTCAGGGTACCATCCTAGGCCCGCTTTTTTTCGTTATTTTTGTCAATGACTTATTAAGTTTGGATCCCAATGCCCAATTTATGTCATATGCTGATGACACAGCGATAACAATGAGTGAGGGCACTTGGCTGGGTCTGGAAAATAGAGCGAATAATGTTATTAATAATGTAGCAAACTGGCTTAGAGAAAATGGTTTATCATTAAACATCGAAAAAACTAAATATATTTTATTTAGCACATATAAAGATAAGGCACCTGATAAGTTAAATATTGTGATACATGATGGCTGTAACATAGGGTCTTGTACGGGTAGAGAGTTAGGCAAAGAACAATTTATTAAATATCTTGGAATATTTGTAGACTGTAACATGAATTTTAAAGAACATATTGAACAACTTAAAAAAAATTTGAGATATTTGTTATTCATTTTTGCAAATTTAAGAAACTTCCTTAATGCAAAAACTTTAATATCTATTTATTATGCGCTATTTGAATCAAAAGCAACATATGGAATAATATCATGGGGAAGCGCATATGGTAATGTCATAAACTCTCTCCAATCGATTCAAAATAGAATTGTTAGGCTAATTTTTAAAAAGCCATCGGCACAACTCGATCAATGTTATAAAGAAAACAATCTACTAAAAATAAGACAAATATATTACCTTAAAGCCATTACAACAAATCATTATAAGAACTTGAAATCTGAATATTTACATACAAAACAAATAACTAGAAATAAGAGCATTCCAGTAATGAAAACAAAGCTAGAAGTAGGCAAAAAAAGCACAAAATGGATTGCTATAAAAATATATAACTTACTAGATGATGACCTAAAAAATTATAACTTCTCAACAAAAGCTCTCAAAAATAAGATAAAGTCCTGGATCTGTCAAAGAAATTTAGAAATTAAAATTTTTATATAAATAACCTAATATTATGCCGGCCCTGGTAATTATTACATATTTCCGAAAGGAGTTTCAAACCCGTTAATGTTTTTGATTTTTTTGTTTTGTTATTTTTTTTTTTTTTTGAATTATTGTTATATAAGTATAATAAAATATAGGTACAAATAGGTACTTTATTTATATTGTATTATTTAGGTTTGTTGTTAAGTGTAGAGGTGATTGTGATTTTTTCATGTTCACGCGCCAAGCCTGCAAACAGAACATTTTGTGTTCTCAGCAGGATAGGGTATACCGATTATAACGAACGTAGGTAACATAGGTACTCTAATGTTTTATGTTTACTCTGCTTTGTATTAAGGTTTGTACTGTATTTTGGCATAAATAAATGAATTGAATTGAATTGAATTGAATGGATTATTTTCAAGGAATCGAATAATCGAAAATAATCAATGAATCGATTAATCGAAAATGATTGATTATTTTAAATAATCAATACTTAATCGACTATTTATTTTGATAATCGCCCAGCCCTGGTTCCCATTAGTATTTGTATTACACAACAGGGCCGGTTCGACAATTCAAACATATCCTGATTATAGGCTATACCTAGAATAAAAGTTCATTTTTGAGTTCTAAAATGAACTTCTATTCTAGGTATAGCCTATTGGGCCGGCCCTAAAACGTGAAATTGAAGAATATTTTTAAATACCACTTTTAAAATATGTAGATGATTGAAAATAAATAGTATTGTGATAAATCCAGAAAATTCTCACCTGTATACTCTTCCCAGAGCAAGCGATCCATAATTGTGATTAACTGGATCCATATCATGTACAGAACCGACTTGTCTAGTTGGTACTTGATCAATTACACTGCCTCCAACCTCAGAATTGTATATTAGAGTTTGTGATGTCCTTGCAGAATAGGGGCTTTGGAATTGATGATTAGAAGCTTGTGGATCGTAATCAGCAATTTTTCCTACTGCTGGATTTAGTAGAGGAATATGAATAGGGACAGCTGCAGCAACTGCTACATGATTTTTCGTTGTAAATGTAGCTGCTGCATGGGTATTTTCAGCATTGCCATTTTCGTTCAGTTGCCTGCGTTGCTCCATTTCGGCTTTGCGTTGCAAATCTCCATGATAAGCCACGTTACTTATTATCTTAGTGTTCTGTTTAATTCTTAAAGTTTCAGGATCATCAGCTACTTGTGTAAATTTTCCTTTAGCTTTTTCAAAATCTGCATGATACTTAACGTTGGACTGAATTTTTGTATTTTCAGCTATTCGTTTTAATTCAGGAGTCTCTGCCATTGTTGTGGCTTTGGCTTTAGGTACGTGACTAAATTGAGAAAGAAATTTAATTTATTGGGACCTTATCAAGGTATTTGGTGTACTTACGAGTCACAATAAGGTTCTTTGTTGAAACCTTTATAATTGCGCATATTCAAGGCCATGCCGCAGTCTTTGCATTTGAAGCAGAATCTATGCCAGACCTAAAAAATTGATATATTGCTGCACCACCAATGCTGTTCATAGGAGGCTTTTACTTTAAAACTGATACTCTATTTATATTCATAGATATGCCTGACTAACTATTAAACTAGATTTTTTTCAATAAATCGTGCATTTAAATTTAAAAAAAATCTAAAACAGAACACAGAGAAAGTATTATATTGCGTCCACATGGAAATCTACGACCTACACTTAACTAATACATGACACAATAAAAAATAATCGTATAAAAAAATAACTAGGACACATTGTAAACAAATAATTGGTAGGTATTTTAAAAAACAGAAAATAGCAAAGAAAAAGTCAAGAACAAATGTAAGGGGTTGAATCTTATAGTGATTATCATTAATAATAGCAACTTTATTTGTGTGAGATAATCACTCGGATGATCATCAAATTATGCAGACTGTAATATGAGACGACCAAAAAGACAAAATGTGTTTGTCTCAGCTACAAATGTTAACAATATGTGGATTAGTGAGTCATTTCATCAATTTAGCCTTGATTAAAATAAAACTTTCAGGCTGCTGCTATAGAGCTAATAAAGGATGGAGTCTCTCTATAACTTTTTCTTAATTAATTAATTAATTACAACTGAATTTTTATTTAAAAAGAAATAGATAAATTACCTTGTCCAGACATTTGAGTTCTTCAGTGGGGTAAACTGTTTTTTCGCACCGAGCGCACTGTTTGTTCATGATTAACTTATTATAGAGTCGTAAACCATATATTAACTAATCAATTCTGAATATAAAAAACAAAAAAACGGGAGAAATTAACAGAAAGTAAAGTAAAAAAAGCCCAACCCGAGCTTTTAGAACCTTGGTTAATGAATATTATGATTTGTCAACGTCACCTGTCAATTACAAAAAAAAAAAACAACAGTCAAAAGGTCGACAACGGTTTCCAAAGGGTTTCCACTTCTACTGGCTCCAAGAACAATCAGTGTTGCCGTTTGCGGGTATTTTACCCGAAATTCGGGTATTTTGGTATTGCTTGTGGGTAAAATATTGAAGAGGGTAAAATTGGGTAAAATTTCAAATTTATCCAAAAACACAAGGCTCGAATAATATTATATTAACAATGACCTTATATCAATAATATAATTAAACTCTTATTCATACGAATACAGAGACATATGAATTTTTCTAAGCGCCATCTCTTGTTTAATTTGGAATTTACCTAATAACTTTTGATACAAAGATGAACGCGAATGATTTTTTATACAAGTTTTTTTTTTCACTATTTTGACCATTGCGGGTATATTCTCATTTGTGGTCGGGCATTTTCAAGTTATTCATGTGGCAACACTGAGAACAATACTCTCAAGCAGATCGTGTTACTAACCGTGCGTTCGGTATTTTGATCTGAGTTCTCCGAGCTTAAATTGACCGTTTGTTTATTTAAAAAGTGTACTCGGTGCAGGCTCACTCGCGTTCGTTTGTTTAAATCAGGGATGGGCATCTACGCGTAAATAAAGATTGTCTACGTTCTGGTGTAAACAACGCGTAGTAAACTATGTAATCTATAGCCGCTTTCCAGCTGACATTGTGTTTGTGCTTCAAGCACGGTGCAGCACAGTGTTTGAAACGCAAAAATTAGCAGCTCTCGAAGCGCAGTAGCGCTGGAACACGAACACGCGCTTGAATCATTTGCGCGCGCAGAAGCTCGATTGCATGCTCAAAATGGTCAGCTGGAAAGCGGCTATTATCTACATAGTTTACACAGTCTACATGGAAAAAGTGGATGCAAAAAATAGGTAGATAACAAGTAGACAAACCGCGTAAAGTAGATTTCTTAGTCTACGGCACATCCCTGGTTTAAATGGTTTATAGAACAAATGTTAACTGTTGTACTGCAAAAAAATACAGACGACACGATAAAGCTTTAGGCTTTACAGATTTCTGTTAATGGATTTATCCCGGTTTCTTGTGGTGTGGATTTATCTCAGTTTGATGTGTGTTAATCATCCTCATCACTGATTGATTGTGAACTGAATTCATTATTGCATCATCTGATCCATAGCGCTAAAGAGTCCTGTCCGCTCGCCTCACTTTGACAAACTTGTATCGCATTACTTGTTCATCCAAGTCCAGGAGTGCGTTTAGAAATGAAGTGTGAGGGTAGAGTAGTTGTTTGTCAGAGTGTTCTCACGTCATCACTTGGAGTGCACTCTAGGTGCGCTATTTGTGAACCTATTGGGGCGTTGCGGTGAGTGTCAATAATGTCATGAATCACGTCAAACCCACTGATCTAAAAAATAAATGGATAAACAATCATACGGCTTGATTGGCAAAATTTGTGCGAAAATTTGGGGTCAATATTCTACGAACAGTTGTGCAACGGAACAGCCTAACGCTTGCGCAGTGTCTTATCTTTCGAACAACTGTTCTAAATTTTTAAATTCCTTCATTTTCATTGGCCAGACTTTGTGCACACACAGTACATGTATCTACTGCGCACGCTCACAGCTGTCCGAGTCAGTTGTTTTTGTTTAGATTATGACCTCGTAAATTAGCAGCATTAGAAGCGTTCTTTGTTTATCCATTTATTTTTGAGATCAGTTGATGGGCAAACCCGGTAAAAACGGCGGGGCGTTTTTCCACCCAGTCCCTGAGTGGGGTAATTTTTCCGGGTACCACGCCCAAAAACGGGGAGGTTTCAAAAAAATAATTTTTCTAGGTGATTAAGTAAATTATATGATGTTTTCACCTCGCTGGAAAGTGGCACGGGCAGTGGCGGATCTAGGGACGAGTGGCCCTCAGGGCTCAATCGCAGCGTTGCGGAACTGACGCGCCGTCTCCCGTCTCGCACACTCCGTCTTGTACTGGATTCGAATTGCCGTTAAGAGTCGCTTTCCAGTAGTCCAGTGACGAATTTTAAGGTGCACCACACCCGTAGCTTCACACTCTGGTGCTCCAAACAATTGTTGTTTTATGTTTCACTGGAAAGCATCCTATTTTAAGGCCATGTTCCAATATCAAATGTCAGTACTGAATTTACTGGGCGCCGTTTCGATATTATTTACAGTACACTGATTCAGAACTGAATGACGTTTTGAGTGCGCCATTGACGTCAATAATATTTACTGGACGGGGATTCTAGAATCACGATTTGCCACACGACTCGAAAACGAGACGATTTTTTCCGACGATCCTAGGTTGGAATCTCATTGGATTGAAATCATACCTTTCTGAGACGACAGGCGGTCGGTATCGAGTTGCGTCTCGTTGTCGAGTCGTGATTTTAGAATCTCCCTGCTGTACAATTTTTTCCAGCAAAACAGTACGCTGTTGAAATCGGAACCGCAAATGACAGTAAAATCAGCACAGTAAAATCCAGTACTGGCAATTGATAACGGAAGATAGCCATAGGGCCGCTTTTTCAAAAAGCGAGTCACCTCCGGGTTGGTTTTAGGGTAAGCGTGTCCAGTTGCTATGTTTACCCCGGAGTTATTCCTAATCCGGTGGTGACTCGGTATTGAGAAACCGGCGCTAAGTGTAGTCTTTTTGATGCACCCATCAAATAGCTGGTGCTTGAGAGGGCAGGGGAGAGGAAAAACGAACCAGTTCAGTTGCGCGAAATTTTAATGCACTGGAACACCTATAAACAGCCCGGGGCGCTCTAGAGCAGCTCAGGAGCAGGGACTCGGACCGAAATGAAATATCGGTTCCGTTCCAGGGGTGCGATTTTCGAGACCATTCGAGTACATTTCGTACACGAAATTTGACTGCTCCCCATTTAATTTACATTGCTGTCAGTCAATTTTCGTGTACGAAATGTACTCGAATGGTTTCGAAAATCGCACCTCAGTTCCGGTCCACCACGGATAATACACACACTACTACAGGATAGCCTATCCTCATAAGGCCTGTGTAAAACAAATTTAAAACAACTCACCACCCAAATCACCAGTTATGACGTAGGCAGCATATTGTTTCTCGCCTTGACGTAGGCTGTTTGCACCACAGGTTATGATTCCGCGGGCTTTTACTTCATGCATACTTGGTTTTACTACATTAATTAAATTCAAAAACAACTCCTTTTCAGATCTCGTTTGCATCTTCCTCTCTGCCTTTATGGCTGTGTTCTTTTTTTAACTGTCAGTACTGTATTCAGTGATGTGCCTGTATTGTCAACGTAAACAATTGATTGTTTACGCGTAGACAATTCGAATTGTTTACGTGAGCATTTGTCTACACATTGTCTACATGCGGCGTAAACAATATTTTATTATAAAAAATTCGAAAAAAAATATCAAAAGTATCACACAATATCACTATCACTTCGATATTAGCATTCACTGATTATAAAATATCAGAAAAACCAATAATAAAATAAAAATAATTTAAAAAAAGGAAAATGTGAGGTTAGAATTAAACGTCATTTATATTATTTTACATTGTTGACACGTTGTCTACATTGTCTACAATCTACACGTAAAGTAGACAATGAAAGTCTACGTGTAGACGCACATCCCTGACTGTATTTACTGGGAAGCGTTCCAAAATTAAAATTCAGAGTACTGATTTACTGAAAAAATGGCGTATGACGTCACCAATACGTCACTTATTAAATACTGTGCAGTACTGTGCTTGCTGTATCCGGGAAGCTACTGTAATTCAGTAAGAGTGGTAGGGTGTCGATTGTTTTGTTTCGTTCAAGAACACTGAAAAAAATTACGAATGACGTTACCAATACGTCACTAATAGTACCTACTGTGCTGCTGTATCTGGGTCTGGGAAGCTACTGTTATCCAGTAAAAGTGGTGGGGTGTCAATTGTTTTGTTTCGAGGAGAGGAAATTATGCAACAATTATAACTTTAACGAGTGTTCTATTTTTATTGCACAAGGACATAAAAGCATTATAATTTATTAGGTGTAATTTTTAATATTTAAGTTAAATGGTATTCGATTTCACATTTAAGTTAATAGTTGTTTTATTTCTATTTTATTAAATATTGATATTATAACAACAAAACAAATAGCTATCACTTTATCTTGTGTTTTATTTCATACAGCTTTGGTACATAGTAGAGTAGGTACTAGTAGAGTAGGTAACTGTAATTAAACTTAACTTAATTTAAATTAATTGAGCTATACAGGATGTTTCTGGATAATGGGATCAAACTTCTAGGAGAAATAGTAGTACTCATTAAAATAAAATAAAAATTATTTAATAATTAATAGAAACGGCCCGGATTCCGAACCCACGATTCGATAGTATCGTCCATATAAAATAGATGGATGATACTATCGAATCGTAGGTTCGGAATCCGGGCCCAGTTTTTTACTCAGACTGAAGTTTATTAGCTCAAAAACCCCTCTCCAGATTTTCTTTAAACTTGGAAGGTTTGTTTGTAATAACAATACAAAAGGTATCTTTGGACTTAATTAAATTTTATGTAATTATTCCAGTGGCCTTCAGAGGCCAGGGCAACTACGTTGGTAAAAGCATTGTATTACTATGATAATTTACAGTAATAATAACCAACTATTGAATTAATAATGGAGAAAGCTTGAAAAAGAAAAACGAAAAATATAAAATAATCATGGTTGTTAAGTTAGGTTAGCTTTGTTGCCGGTCAAATGTCAATAATTACTGGAATCCATTCCAAAATCAACCAGTAATACAGCGGCTGGTTAAAAAAGAAACGACAAATTCAGTAAAAACCGTACAGCAGAAATTCAGTACTGCCAGTTGAAAAAAGAACACAGCCTATGTTATCAAAATTAAATGATATTTTCCATCATAAATTTAAACTCTAAACTAGGACCGCTGGCGCAAACAGCTGACGACTTAGTTGATGACGTCGCCAATGGTGATACTCCAATATGGCCGCGATTACCAGAAACGAGGCCAATAAGCAATCCATAGTAGTGTATATTATCCTTGCCGGTCCACAGCGTCATGAGTCATGACTGTCGGTTCCGGTTCTGAAGAAATTTTTTCGATTCGGTTCGGACCAATAATTTAGGTTTTAACGGTTCATACCGGTATAGTTTTTCAACAATTTGATATCTAACAGAAAAATGTATGTTCCTGTAATTTGTGGTTATGCCTCATTCTCACTTGCGCGAAATTCGCTCTTTTTGCACGAAAATCGCTCTTTTTTTGACATTGCTTCGACAATTTGACGTTTTATGCGTGTATCAAACGTCAAATTGTCGAAGCAATGTCAAAAAATAGCGAATTTCGCGCAAGTGAGAATTAAGCTTTAAGCCTAGTACTCATAACCGCGAAATTCGCTCTTTTTCGACATTGCTTCGACAATTTGACGTTTTATGCGTGAATCAAACGTCAACTAGGCTTTAGGCGGCTGATATTTGGACGACAATGGAGAGTGATTTGAAAAACGCGTCACGGGCAAATTTCCTTAGTCGAGAGAGAAGAAATATATAACGTGAAGAGATGGAGAAAGACAGCTATTGATTGACATAAATCAAGGACTTTGACACAAATCAAGGATTATAAGCGTAAAGAGGATTGCCTATTATTGACAAGCGCCGATATTGACACAAACCAAGGATTAGAAGCATAAAGAGGATTGCTACAAGGATACTACAAGCGCCGATAACATTGTGACGTTACTACACATGCGCGTCTCCCTTTTGTCATACTATTATTATTGTGTTTTGTGATTATTTTCGTTAATTATACATTTGTGTGCTGCGATTTTTTTAAATTATATCCGTGAACCGTCATTATATAAGTATATTAAAATTATTAAAATATGATCAAAAATTATATTAGAAACGGAGAAAAACAGCCATTGATTTCCACAAATTAGGGATTATAAGCGCAAGGAGGATTGCCTATTATTGTCAAGTACCGATACCCTTGTGACTTCACTACAGATGCGCGTTTCCCTTCGTCTTTACCCCGACTCATACGCTAAGTAGAAGTTTCACTTCTACCACGTGTACGGCGCTGCACATGATTTTTGGTATTGAATTTCTCTGCCTATCTGCAATAACTTCAATAATAATAAATATTAAATATTGATAATAATAATAAATTTTTGAGTACTCGATCAGTTAATTATTAAAAATATCAATCCACTCACCAGGCCAAAGTACCAGTGATGACGTAGGCAGCGTGTCGTTTCTCGCCTTGACGTAGGGTGCTTGCAAGGATGATACACACACACTACTACTACTACTACAGGATATCCTCATAAGGCCTGTGTGGAACAAATCCCCCCCCCCCTTCGCCAAATCACCAGTTGTGACGTAAGTAGCATGTTATTTCTCGCCTTGACGTAGGCTATTTGAACAGCTGACGACTTAAACCAAATCTTCGCGACGAACTACTTCCATGATTTCATGAACACAAACGCTTTCGAAGAAACTCTTGACGTCATATTGAACGTAGCTCGTCGCAAGCATGGACACAGCTTCTAGCCAGCTCTCAAACTCATGACGTCACCAGGCGAACTAAGGTTCGTCCTTGGATGAACTACATTCGTCGCGAAAATTCCGTGTTAGCTATGACTTCGGAAATGGTGACCACGAGATGACGCGTCCTATTATATATCTGCGCATGCGCGACGAATTATCGTGGCCGAGTTCGTTTTTGTTATGTTTTTCGTCGATTTGCTCCGAAATTTTGACTGCCACGTGACTGGATAAAACAATTTCAATTTACAAATCACGTGCCTGTCAAAATTTCGGAGCAAATCGACGAAAAAGATGACAAAAACGAACTCAGCCCGTATAATGCTAATCCTATCCCAATTAGTTGATATTTCTGGTATAATTGACCGCCAAACGTAAAATTTGGTAAATTCGTGACCACCAAACGATTTCCGTTAAATTCGACTATGAATTGTCCATTAAAAGGTCTGATGTCTGTTTCTGCAGGAATCAAACCAGTCAGAGTGAACTTCATTAGTTGAAACTAATTTTCTGACTGTTTTCAACCAATGAAGTTCACTCTGACTGGTTTATGATTCCTGCAGAAACAGACCTAAAATTATTTATAAGTAGGTATGTAGGCCAACGTAAATATGAAATTTTGAATTGTTGAATACTGCCAAAGTAATTACCACCAAATGATAAAAGTGAGATACCAAAGTCCACCAAAGAACCACCAAACGATTAGTTCTTTTCACGTGTCTCCGGTTTAACTAACCGGGTTACAAAACGGTTAGAGAAATGACATACCGTTTTCTAACCCGGTTACAAAGTGACGTGATGGATACCTACCACTCGCATTTGAGCGGTATGTTGCGGTTTGTTAAACCGGAGCCACGTGAAAAGGGTTATTGCATTTGGTGGATATTAACCGTGCGTTCGTTATTTTGGTCTGAGTTCTCCGAGCTTGACTTTACCGTTCGTTTATTTAAAAAGTGTACTCGGTACAACCTCATTCGCGTTCTTTTATTAAAATTTTTGGCACTTTTATATAGCGTACAACTGCTCTGTTCGCTCGCTGGTCACGTGAGTACGGCTCCGCTCAGCACGCTCTGCTCTTTGAGCAAAATATCGAACGCAAGGTAAAAAAAAAAACATTTGGTTGGCTAAATAAACTGTGGCTGAATACATGTTGCCGGAACGGCGTCCAGTAAATTGTACTGACAACTGACAGTTGATATCGGAACATAGCCCGAATCTGTCAGGATTCTCAAAATGTCATATGTCAACGGTTTCTGGCCTAGGCCATTAGCGAACCTAGGTCCTTGGTCCTTGGGCCTAGCCATCAGCAAGAGACACGTGGTTTGTTTGAGGTATTTGTTTTGTTTTGTTGACTAGTTCTAACTCTCAGGGAAATAAATTTTCAGGGAATTATTTCATTCAAATTCAATTCCAAGCAAGTGCAATAGTTTCGTAGTCAAGATTGAAGCCTAAACATACCCACAAAAATGCTCAGTGACGATGACCGAGAAGTTGATGTTGAAAGTGATGTGAGTTTTTCAGAGTTTTTATTTCCTGTCGTAACTGCCTGCTAAAATGCTTAGTTTGAATTACTGCCAGAGACACTGAACATTGAGCCAGCCCAAGGTCAAGGATTTAGAATTGAAAAACCAAAAATAGGCTATTATTAGCCTTATTTTGGTTTGAAACAAGGATGGTTCTAGAATCGTTCAAAACAATCGCACAGTTTATTAATCAACAAAATGACAACGCTCGGCTATCAGAAATTTCAATAATAAACTGTGCGTTTGTTTTGCACGGTTCTAGAACCCTTCTTATTTCAAACCAAAACAAACCTATTTTTTATTGCTGCATACAGACTCTTGGAGCATGTTAATTGGTCTTTGGCAATAGTTTCGAATTAAATACTACGTTTTCATGGAGTTTTCAAATCGTTTTGAATCCAATCCTCTTTCCCGTTTTCATGCAGAGGCAAAATTAGAATTGAAATCGAATTGCATGTTTCTTAATTTAAATCCCGATACGATCCCCAAAAAAGGTGAAACGACCTTGAGACTGAAATGGATTTCAGTACCTGTTTTCATGGTGTTTTCAATACCAAAACCGTATTCAAAACGATTTCAAAACTCCATGAAAACGTAGTAAATCAGCATGTGTTTGATGCTAGCTCCTTGAAGCCAGCTCATTGCTTCAAATATGTTTCCGCGAACGTAGTCGAAAGTGTGCAGAAGCTCCTCGCGTACCGCAACTTTTATTGCTTAATAGAAATAAAATTGAATATGTTTTTTGAATAATTTAAAACAGAATATACCTTCTATTTTTTAATCGCCATTTAAATCAAGGGATGTAGGAATGTGTTTAATATTATAATGTAATATCTCAGTCCAGGACCGGATTTTCCATATGAAATTTTCAGGGTAGTTAGAGGGTCAATAGTACTACTCAACCCACCCGAGAACCCACCCCTCAAAGTTGAGAGACAAAGGAAACTTTCGAGGTAAAAAATGATTTATAGTCCAAGGAGCTAGGTACTATCTCAGTCCAGGACCGGATTTTCGATATAAAATTTTAAAGGTAGTTAGAGGGTCAATAGTACTACTCAACCCACCCGAGGGGGCGACCACTGACCTGCTCTAGATCTTAACCATTCAGCTATTTGAGAGCCAATACTAAATAGAATAACCGACGATCCTTGCTATGGAATGTTGAATTAGTTTTCGACCACTTTGACCCGTTTAAAATAGGTGGCATTACTGTAAAACATGTATTGTTCGTCGATTTTTAACTGATACTTGCGGTATGAGGAGTGAGGGGGTGTTTCATATGGCAAAAACAGGTGTGACGTCAGGTAACCATTGGCGTTCTAATGTAGGGAGCCACCAGCTCACATTCCGTCCGAGTATCAGATTAAAATCGACGAACAATATCACTTTTCCCGCGAAAAATTAGTAACGTCTTGCTTGTTGTACGGATAACCCACATGCAATCTAAATTTGCTAAAGTGCTTACTGGCATCGTATCTGAAAATAGTGAGTAACTTAGGTTTTATTTTAAACTAATGGATGAAATATGTTCTTTAGGGTAAAGGAAGGGTTAAATGTTGAAATTACCATGAAAAAACTGCATTTAATGATTTTTTTCATGTTATTATTTAGTGGTCGAGAACCAGCTTTTAAAAATTGAGGATGTTTGGTTTCCGACCGCCTTGGTCGAAAACCAAAATTTATTTATTTATTTATTTATTTATTTCCATTTCAAATTACACAAATTCATACGATAAGTACTGTAAAAATGAACATAAATTGAATGACGTCAAAAAAGATTTCTTAAATAAATATCCATATAATAGGTAGGTAGGTACATACAATCAATATCATAGGAATAACACTACTCATTCCTAGCTATTCATATACTCTTCAATATCATAGGGCAAGAAAGAACCAAGAAATAGAAATAGAAAGAGTCATAGAGAATAACAGGAATATGAAATGCCTAAGACCAACACTAGGGAGATACGAAATAAATAAAATAAAAGACAAGAACGGCATAGAAACTAATATTAAGGAGGATATCATAAATATTACACAACTGTATTATTTTTTTTTTTTTTTTTTTTTTTTATTTATTTATTTATTTATTGATCAACAATAGTATCCTTAAATAATAACAAAAATACCCAATATAGTTTACCTATACTTAACACTATTGCCTAATGTGGGTGCACGATGGTATTTGAAATACTGTGTGTGCCCCTTTTTTCCTATATCAGTCTATCCCTTGAGGTTCCTAATTTGACTCACTTATGTATATAAATATAAACAATAATAATGTTATTATCTTTTACTATTTTTAAATTAGGTAATGTATCTTGTAAAAACTACTTTCAAGGTAACCAGAAGGAAAATAAATAAATAAGAACATTTCTGCTGAAGTCCTGATGGACTTGTGTGCAGACTTTTCTTGTTATTCCATTCAGTTATGCAGACCGCGTTTACATGTTGAAACAAAATAATAAGTAGTCATAGGAAGTACTTGAAAACACAAAACAATCTAAATTTGACCCTTAGCATACCAGGGAGCATACCCATTTCCATAAATTTACAACAATAATTATAAGTATATAAATAATAACAAAACAAAAAAATACCTCAGTAGCCCTATGTTGTATAAATCCATTGTCACTCTGCACTTCAAAAAAACAAGATTCATAAAGAGAATTTGCCTATTTTAAAGAAGAATTCTTTGAACCTAAAGATTGAATATGCAACTCGATATGCAAGTAATGTTATTTGAGTTTTCCATTTATTAGTTCATTAAAAAACGTACGGGGAGTTTCAAGAATCCATTTCTTCAAAATACTTCTAAACAATTTCAATATAGTGACATCCTTAAGAAAATCTGGCAAAAATCTATAGATGTAAGGCCCGAGAAAGGAAATTGTTCTTTGAGCAATTGTCTTTTTGGTTTTAATAGTTGCAACCCTCAGTTTCAACTTTTGTCGGGTATTATGTGGGTGATCAATCATATTTAGTTTGTGCCTATATCTGAATTGATATATTAACAATTTGAAGGTATATAATTTATTAATGTCCATTAGCTTACTCTCTTCATATGTTTTGTTACTTGAATAAAGGCGATTTTTATTGATCATTATCCTTAGGAAAACCTTTTGAATTTTTTCTAACTTTTCAATATGTATTTTATAGGCTCCACCCCACCCAACTATCCCATACTGAATTAAGGATTGAACGAGTGCACAATACATAATCCTAAGTTGTGAAAAGCAAAGAATTTTTTTTAGTTTTTTAAATTTAAAAAGTATAACACGTAGTTTATTTATTAGGTTGTTGATATGTACGTCCCATTTCAAATATCTATCCAGTACTATTCCCAAATATTTTATATTATCTGTCCCTTTTATAGTTACTTTTGAGTCATTTGCTTGTGTTACGTTAATTTCTGTGAAATTTGGAGCTTTTGCCTTACTACAACTGAAAGGTATGTATTTTGTTTTCTTAAAGTTAATTGTCAGAGACATCTCATCAAACCAATCCTTTATCTTTGCTAAATCCTTTTCTGCTTGTAGTTTCGTTTCTTTCCATGTTTTTCCACTGTATATAATAACTGTATCATCAGCAAACGATGCGATCAGCCCAAATGTATTTATGTTTAACAAGCCATTTATATACATTGTAAATAGGATTGGGCCTAGTACGCTTCCTTGAGGAACACCGTACTCCACAGTTGTTGGTTCACTAAATGTTTTACCGATCTGGACATATTGCCTTCTTTCACTTAGATATGATATTATCAGTTTTTCTGTAATTCCACGAAATCCTAGATTTTTTAAGACAGTTATCAGCATGGGGTGATCCACAGTGTCGAATGCCTTTGCAAGGTCTAAAAAAAATACCATAACATATTCATCATTATCAAGTTTTCTGTAAACATTATCCGTTACGTATGCTATGGCATCTTCTGTGGATAACCCCTGCTGAAACCCAAACTGTTTGTCTGATATTAATTTATATTTAGTAAGATAAGAAACAACCCTTTTTTTCATTATTTTTTCCACAATTTTTGAAAGCATAGAAATTAGGGTTATTGGTCTATAGTTTTCTATCTGTAACTTTCCCCCAGATTTATAGAGAGGTTTGATAATTCCAATTTTCAGCCTACTTGGATAGTATCCCTGTTCAAATATTTTATTTATTATATGTGTAAGTGGTGTTTTTATGTATGGAGCTAAAATTTGAAGAGTTTCTGTAGTAATTGTATCATATCCTGGAGATTTTTTCTTTTTCAAATGATTTATTATTCCTTCAACTTCAAGTTCATTTGTTGGTTCCAAAAAAAATGTGTTTTCTTGTATTTTTCCATTAAATTTAGTTTTTCCTGTTCTTTTAATTTTTTTCGCTAGATTTTTTCCCAAACTTGTGAAATATTTATTGAACTTGTTTGCTATTTCTTTTTTGTTCGTAATTGTGCGCTCGTTTGATTTGATTTGTTTTATTTCTGTGTTTTGTTGTTCTTTTCCCAAATATTTGTTAACACTGTGCCAAAGATTTTTGCTGTTATTGCCTTCTTTATTTATTTCTCTTTGAAAATAGTCTTTTTTAGTTTTGTCTAGTAATCTTTCAAATATTTTTTTATACTGTTTGTAAGCTATTTGTTTTTGAATATTTTGGTGGTCCAACTGTGATATTTTATATAATTCATTTTTTCTTTTTGATGAAGTCATTAAACTTGGAGTTATCCACGGATGCCGTTTTTTTAAATTTTTTCTGTATTTAATTGTGTCTGTAGCCGAATCTACTGCTGCTTTCAACTTATTCATAAATAGATCCATTTTAATGTCCAGATTCTCAGTTTCGTAATAATCCGTCCAAGTTTCATTTTGTATAATATGTACAAGTTTTTTTGTATTTATTTTTTTATATTCGACATTTTTATTATTATCTAACAGAGATTCATCGATTTTTAAGACAGCTACTACTGGGTAATGATCAGTAATATTCCTTTTTATTAT